TATTTTTCACTTTATAAAATGGTTCAAAGTATTTAGTTTTCAGAATTTATTAGGGTTTAACAAAAGATACAAGTTATAACAGTTTTTTGTTTTATACTTTTTTGTTTTGTTTTTTATCTTGTAGATTCACTTCATCTTTCAACATGAAGATCCTATAACACACAAAATGGAAGAAAAACATGCAAAAAAATCCGAAGGCGATTTCAGCAAAATATTTGATGACAAGAAAACTCATTTAATGACATTAATAGTGAGACCTGATAACAGTTTTGAAATACTTGTTGACAAAGTAAAAGTAAATGAAGGCAGCCTGCTTACTGATATGGAGCCCCCAGTTAATCCTCCTAAAGAAATTGATGATCCAGAAGACATTAAACCTGATGATTGGGATGAAAGAGAAAAAATTATAGATTCAACTGCAACTAAACCTGAGGACTGGTGAGTGTATAGTATGATTTAAATATGATTTAAAACTAAATAATGTTAATCACTTTATTACAGACATGAATATTAACTATTTAAGTTTTACTTGAATCTTTATGCCAGAGAATTTTGTAAAATTAAAAATGTATTGAAATATTATAAATCCATGAAATTATTTAAATTATTAAATTTAATTAGAAAATATAATATAAAACAATACTGCTATTATTTTTGAATGAAAGTAGATAAATTTTTATCAGACTCTTTCGATGGACATCAGCCACTTAGCACTTAAGATTATGAATGTGAACTATAGCATTTTTTATAGTAAAGTTTTTAAAGGCATTTAAGTTATTCTTATTTGTTTTGTAAATTTACTGATAACAGTTTGCTGTGTGTTTTACTCCTGATGTATTTATATAATATTTCAACTAGGTATATTTTAATTATATATTATAATTAGATATTTCACTAGGTATATTTTTAAGTCACATTTGTTGGCTAACAAGATAGATCTGCAAGTGTCTACAATAGTATTATCTAAGTTAGGAATTTTAAAATTGTTGATTTTTTTTTTTTTTTTTTTGCTTGCTCTCATTCAAAATTTTATTTTAAGCTAATTAGAAATGTTAAAACAGATCATATGAATAATTAGGTATAAAAGTTCTAACTTATCATTGGTATATTTTAGGAGTATTGTTTTAAGTGAAGGTTTGATTAAAAGTTTTGTTTTTGCTGTGCAAATATAAATTCATTTATTGTTTAATTATACTAAATTGTGTTTTTTAATGGGAGCCGCTTTTTGTTCAGGCAGTAATTATAGGCATTTTTCAAGAGGTAGTTGTAGGCAAGTCCAGGCAATAGTTGACTATCTATTTTCATTCTCATTCTCATCAACCCAGTTCAAAAAAATTTGATGGTAAAAATAGTCAAGGGTAATCAAAATTTATTTAAACATGTTTTTTTCTTTAGAATTTTGAATTTAAAAGTATTTTTTGTATAGGTCTTTTATATTTTTACAGAAATTAATAATGCGTAAAATAATTTTTTCAGTTCATGTATGCAGTTATTATCATTTATTATTGTTGAATTTAAGAGGCATTTTTTTTTTTCTGTAAATTTTTTTTATATTTTTACAGAAAATAACAATGCATAAAATAGTTTTTTGCAGTTTGAGTATATAGTTTTACAAATAGCTGTTTACTTTCATGACAAAAGAACATTTATTATTGTTGATTTAACAAGCATTTTTTTTTCTGTACAAGTTTTCATATTTTTACAGAAATTAGGAATGCATAAAATAAGTTTTTGCAGTTTGAGTACACAATTTTACAAATAGTTGTTTACTTTCATGACAAAAGAACATGATTGTTACTAATAGATAATCAGCATTAAGAACCTGTAAAAGAGGGTCATGACAAGTTTATGCCTTGTTACTTTTAAAATTATTTGTCTCATGTTGATATTTGCTGAAAAAATAATTTAAAAAAAGTAGATCCTAATTATACTCATTATATAAATATAATATTATATGTAATAAATTCATTTAATTCTATGTAATATATGTAATAAAAAAAGTAGATCCTAATTATACTCATTATATAAATATAATATTATATGTAATAAATTCATTTAATTCTATGTAATATATTCATTTAATTCTATGTAATATATTTATTTAATTCTATGTAATATATTCATAATATATCATAATATTATATGTAATATATTATAATATATGTAATATAATATATTATTAATATTATATGTAATATATTCATTTAATTATTATATTATATTCTTATATATTTATTTAAAAATCTATTTTTTAAATAAAGAAATTTTGAAGTTACTTGGTAAATTTATTAAAGTGTAATGTTCTTTGGGATTGGCTTGATTCGGGAAGATGATCCATGAACTATTATTGTACCAATAAAGCCAACAAATACTATTGATCTATTTTATTAATATATTTTTTTCTTTGTTATATAAGTGTTTTATATGTTCAAATTGAAAAACAACAAATCAAAACACAATTTTCACACATCAATAAGTGAACGAGTAGCTGCTGATCACAAAGAGCAGCCTATAAACTTACTTCGAAGCTAATGTTTATCAGGAAAGCTCTACTACACGGCTGTTTCAAACCGAGCTTAACGGCTTCTTGTTAATTTTTGAAAATATTGACTAAAGGGGTGTTACTAAAACTTTTATAACTTTTGAAATATAAGAGGTAATTTTGTTTTGTAAAAACAATTAAGACATCAATAAAATGTTTTACCTTATGACATTTAATGCATTAGTAGAAAAACTTCTTTTAGTTTAGAATAAATATGACATATATTGAATTTGGCTAAATTTTTGTAATTTGATGTTACTTTTTATCAAAAAAAAATTAGAAAAATATATTCCTAATAGTTATTATCAAATACACTTATTGTTTGACAATAATGAAAACAAAAAAACCTTACTTAATTATTTAAGGTTAACTAAAACAGCCTTAATCGAATTGTGAAAGCAAACCACATTTTTCGCAAAATTATGAAAAACGTCGTTATAAGGGGGGATTAGTTGTTAAATGAGTACTTTTTTTAATATAGAAGTTCTTGATTTAGAAAATTATTTTGGAACGCTGATAAAATCATTACATTACAAAATAAAGTTTTAATAATATGGTGTTAGGTAGTTAATAAATAAAAACTCATCAATTCTAATAAAATAATTCATGACCAAAATTGAGTTAAAGGTTTTGAATTAACCTAGCTTTTGGTAGTAGAATTATTTTATGGTACTTGTATCAATAATCTCTTTTCACAAAAAATTAAGTGTTTAAATATACACAAATAGCTGATTTAAATCTTTTGATAATTCGTTTTTATTTTCATTGAAAACTGTTTTATAATTAGTTGGTCCATTGATAAGTTCTTCAAGCAGTAAACTATCTTTGAACACCCAGTTGATACTAGATTCATACATAATTCATTTAAAACCAGAAGAACATTTGGTCAACTTGGCAATTGTGATAATAAAGTTTACAACTTCTTAATTTATCAAGCTAAATTTTTACACCAACTTGATAAATGAGACTTATATTCCATTCTTTAACCAGAGAGGAGGTATGTAGAGCAGAGGTCCTGCGAAGGTAGAACTAACTTTTGATGATAAAAATTGAACGGAGATCTAATATATATAAAAAATGTCACATATTACATAACAAAGGATAAAACGTTTTTTGAATTAACTACATAAACATACAAAATCATATCCAACAAACACACCAGTTGCTCTGATCACAAATTAAAATAGTTAGCTATACATTTGATGCTAGACTTTTATTCCATTCTTTAACCTGAGCAAAGGCATTGCATAGATATAATAAACTTTTGAAAATAGGAACAGAATGGGCATCTACCTAATATATAAAATCATTGTAATAAAAAATTATTATTATTTTGAACAAACATTACAGGCATTAAAACAGAATAGAATTCTCTTATTTGTAAATTAAGGATCTTATATAATTTATCTTAGATGTAAAAAGTTTAATTTTTTTTTTAACTTTTCAAACATTTAAACTAAATTTGATGACCACAAACAAGACAAAGACCTTGTCTATAAAATGAATTTTCGCCACGCTCTGAACACACAACACACTTTCTCACCTTAGAGGCTTGAAGCTTCCTATCAGCTTTGCTGTGCAATTCAAAGCGTTTTAAAACAAGATGCAGCTTTTGCTCCTGATTTCTAACTGAATGCAACTGCCTTAATTCCTTATTTATGCTATTATGCAAACACTCTCCCTCCTCTTCACTCAGCAACCCAATAGTTTTATGCAATTTTACAAATAGTGGCACATTGAAAATGAGTTCATGCATTTTTCGCGTGAAACTTTCTTTTGGAAAGCAAGCATGAAACTCAATAGCAAATAAATTTATATATTGATGAAGCTCAAAAATTTCGGCATCAGAAAGAAATTTTCACTTAAAAAGAATAGGTTGCAAGTTATTAAAAACACTAAACACACGTACAAATCTATTTTTAATTGCTTCATCATCAATAACACTACAAAGTTTATAGTGGTTTCTTAATACTATTTTACAATGATTACCTACAAATACATTACCATGGTAAGCTTGTCGCTCAACTTTCATATCTTCAAGGGCCTTATAAAGAGACCTCTCATGAGTCCCCATGCTACTTATAGATATTTTTTCTAGGTCTTCACACTCTATCTGCAATCAAATATACTCAACATCTAAAACTTCGCGCTGTGCGCGTATAAAAGAAATTTTTTCAGAAATATAAAGGTCAAGACATTCTAAATCTTTACCCTGACATGCTAAACACTCATACTTCTCTATATCACACAATACATTCTTTTCCGAACCACCAATAATTTCACAAAATTGATGAAACAATTTTTGGCACGTACCACACTGCACCCAATCAATGTTACAATCATATTTAGTAATTAAACACCTGATACTAGCACACTTTTCTTGCTGTTTACAGGTTTTTTTTTTATTGGAGGAGTTTAGAGATATGCACTCCAATTCAGAAATATTTTTATCAAAAGCTAACCAACGAGTCTGTAGATTTGCAACGTCTACAAATTGATTTCCTAATAAACATAAAGAGTCTGCTGTTTTAGAACATTCAAAGCTTTTAGCAGCCCACAATTCATTCGTTCTCACATTCTCATTATGCGACAAAGACGAAACAGCTTGACAATCCAAAGTCTTACACTCCTTCAACAATAACTTATAAAGTTTTAACACAACTCCTAACATAATATGCAAAACAGGTGGCACTACATTATCTAAAGTTATTATGGGGAAAATCGCAGGAGCAATAATTGAATTATGAAACTTACCTAGAGCTCTTAGGTTTCCACCTTGTCTATCTTCACACAAGTTCTCATTGTAAGCACTTTCCAAAGATTGTATTGTCCTCCTTAAGATGTTACAATTAGCAGGTGTGTGAGGCATAGAAGCATGGTTTCTTAGAGAATTCAACTTAACTAGGTCTGTAGAACTAGGAAAGCTAGCAGCTGAACCCTGGTGTCCCAGAACATCATCGATAAAATGAAAATCTCCACCTAAGAACAACCTGACTATTTTGCCTTTTAGCTTAAAATCTGACGACTGAATTCTTTTAATGTCGTTGGCATAATGCCCGAGAACTAAGGCAATATTCTCACGACAGTCTGAACCCTGATACATACAAAATAAATGAACATCATATACAGACCCTGATGATTTAGAATTGACAACTTCAAAATGGAATTTCATATACTTCCCACCCTTATCCCCAGCAAAAAGGAGCCATACCTCTTCGCAAAAACCGACATCAGAATTGAAGTGGTCACGAACGTGCAGACTATTGAAAACCTCTTCAATATAAGTTATCAAATTCTTGACCATCAATACAGGTACTAAACAAGGTGCTTCATTCGCAGATGGATAAAGCAACATGGACTTTACAGTAACATGTTCTTTACTAACATGCATTGTCCGCATTTCTTGTTCTTGTCTTATCTTGGGCTCAGATGGGAGAATCCTTGCACCAAGATTACACAGAATACGTCTTAGCCTACGGAATTCAGCCGTGGGCATCCTTAATTGGCTCTGCAGCTCTACAGCATCAGAAACACTTAACTGCCTAACTAAACCCAACTTATTTGCAACACAATGAAACATAGACTTTTCACAAGACACAGAATCACAAAACAACATAGACAAATCACTTTCCAAATCTGAACAAGCTAATAATCAAAGGAATATAAAAGCAAGTTTAGATCGTCTAGCTGCAGCATGCCTACCTAACTTAGAATAAGATTTACCATCTCCTAACGTAATGTAAGTATATTTCTTACCAACTATTGGCTTTTTAACTGATATAGTCTGTGGATTACTTAATTTAAACCCACAGAATAATTCAGAGGAACCAATGTTGTCATAGTCTAAATAAGAATCAACGACAACTAAATCCTTATCACTGCTAGCAAAATATTTGCAAATTTGGCAACTGTTCTTGTTTATATCACTGATTTTTGCATTTTTTTTTTCAAATTTAAATTTTTTTAGCAATCTTACATTTTTGGCACGAGCAGATGCAAATTTACGATGTGCTGTTTTTTATTATTATTTTTTTTTAAAGTTGGAACTGCTCCTCCTGTTTTAGCCTAATACTCATAGTCTCTAATTGAGAACTTAATGAGTTACAATGCGCGTTGAGAGCCTTGTTTTTAGAATTTAAATATATAACTTCAGTTTCCAACTTTGATACCTGTATTTTTAAATTATCTATTTGCTCCACATTATTTTTTTCTTTAGAAATTAATTGTTCAACTTGACTACTTAGTTCCTTATTCCTATTTAAAATATAAAAATTATCTGCATCTGCTGATTTTTTTTGTTTTTTTGTTTGTGGAGCTGGAGACAGTTGCATTTTAAAAAATGCTTCGTTTTTTGAAGCTTCAAAATACTTTTTAGAATCTTTTTTTCTTTGTTTTATTTTTCGGCACATTTTATTTAACACATCAATATTAGGCATATTAAACTCAATTGGCAAAAGAAAACTTAAAAAAGTAAACAACGCTTTTGGATGAAAAACTGTTAATAAAATTGAAATCACATTGTTAGTGATCTTACTAGTGTCAATTACTCGCTTTACAAAATTAAAGTTATACTCATTTTCCCAACCATCTTCCCCACCGATGTACAGTTTCAAAATTTCCCTCTCAGTTGCATACATCGCATAAATAATGATAATGATATTATAATAATAATATAATAAAAGAAATTAAATAAAATAATATTTACAAATAAATACACTAAAAATAAAAGAATTAAGCAACTTATCTGAGATTAGTCGAGTATCCACGAGGAAATAATCCACGAAACTTTGCTTTATAATCTTTATTGATATAGTAATAAAATTATAATACAAACAACTTAAATAGAATAATATTGACAAATAGATGCACTAGATAAAATCGGATTAATCAACTTACCTGAAATTAGTCAAATATCCAAGAGAAATTAATCCGCGAAACTTTGTTATTTATTCTATAAAATGTGTCTCGTTTGTTTTGTTTGTTTTCTTAAAACGCATCCGATAATCGTTGGGGACGTAACGATCAGAGTTTGCGTCACCGCTTCAAAATGTAAACAAGAATTTATGCAAAAAAAACTAAAAAAATGTCGCTAAACATGCCAAGTTTGAAAACATATTTGATAACATAGCTAGAGGTACAGAAAATAATTTTTTGATTTTCTTATTTATATAAGGTTGAAGTATTACTAAATCCACAGACTTTTCAAAAATGTTATGTTTTTTATTCAAAACGAATAAAAACAAAAATATAAATGCATTAAAAACTAACTTTCTATATAAAAACTTGCAAAGTCTGTGGAAATCTAGATAGAACAGACATTCATAAATAACTGTTCTAAATTTCAACCATCGACCATGTAGCTATGTTATCAAATCTTAGTTGGCCTAAGACAGGTTTTGCGTAAAAATCGCAAAAATCAGAAAAGTGATGCCAAATTATTAACAATATTTTTACAGCTTTCATTTTTATTCCGTTTAATGTAAATGTTTATTTAACAAGGAAAGATAGATCTTTTATTTTTTTTTTATTTGAAGATGAAAGCATTTATAGAAAAAAAATACTATTATTTTAAAGTTAATGAATTTTTATACTTTTTATGCGGAAATACTTTTTTTTTTGATAAACTCGTGACGTCAGGCTCGCTTTTATATTGAGTGAAACAGCCGTGACTAGCATACAATTAACCATACTGGTTGATAAAAATAACTAAATGTATAAAATAATAATTGACTAAATATGTATAAAAAGCAATATCAAATTATATATTTGTGTTAAGTAGTCTCAATTTATTATTCTTATTATGATAAATTCTATTTTCTATTTTAAATATATGTAACTCTATGTCCATCAGCAATACACATTTATAATCAAATGTTGTAGTTGCCATTTGGCTGTCATTATATTTTATTATTATATCTTGATTAATGTTTATTAATTATATCTTTATTAATGTTTTATTATATCTTTATTAATGTTTTATTATATCTTTATTAATGTTTATTATTATACCTTTATTAATATTTAAACTGAAACATTAACATGAAACATTTTCAGATAAATGTGTATAACTTAAGTTTACTACACTACTGTAGTTACTATGGTTGTATGACCTATTAACAAAAAATATACAAGTAACTATTTACAAATAAACAATAGTTCAACATTTACATATAATAAAAGATATAAAAGGTAAGTAATGTAATAAAAGATATAAAAGGTAGAATAAAAGGTAATTCACCACAGTTCCATCTTTGGTTTTGTGTTCTCACATATTATTCATCTTCTTAATAGTCTTCTGAAGTGATTCTATTTGATGATGGTACAACTATATATTTTTGTCTAATTAATAAGTTATCACATTTAGATCGCATGGATCTAAATGCGATCATATTATTTTGGAAGCCTATCATAAATATAATCTCTTCTGCGGAATCATCGGGCCAGCAGTGATTAGTGAAATTTAACACAAATAAAACTCGGTTGTTTTCTACTAATAATTATCAAATGCTGTTGATTACTTACATTGTTGAATGTCTACTGAGTCCTATACTACATCTAAGATTATCTTTCACAATTGACTTCTTTTGGAAACCATATATACAATCCATTACTAAGATGGTTATCATATTACTTATTTTTGATATTTGAATTCAATGACACTGGGAAATAAAGGGTTTAGTATAATTTGATTTATAACTTGCATAAAATTAAAAATAAACTTTGAAGTTTGTCAACAAAGTGAATTTTAAAATTATATTGTTAATTTTGTTATTTTTAAAAACAATTATATTTTCAATCATTTAAAAAAAGAAAAATAACAATAGCATTAATACAAGTTAGAAAAAAACTTGTTTGGAGCAGGCTAGATTCTTTAGCCATGACAAGGGAAACTTACCTAGGAGAACAAAAACACTGATTTAATTGCAGACATTATTTAGACAGTTAACTATTTCTTTTATGTATGATTAGTGTTAACATCAGTGTAGTTAGATTGGTGATAACACTAATCATACATAATCAATAAAAGTTTTTATCTCACCAATTGTTTAGTTTTTAAAATTTGATAAAACTGAAAATCAGTTTCAATAAAATACACATGGACTCATTAGTAACAAAAACCTCTAGCTGCAAGATTAGTATTCAACATTCATGAGTTTTTATACCCTAATATTTATGATAATAATAATATTTTTACAATCATATTATCATACCTTTTTAAAACAAAACAGTTATATAAAATTTAAATAAAATCATGTATTTGCTATATCTTGCTTCTTTTTTTTTAAATGACTGTTATAGTCAATATATATGCAGTATGAAAAAACAATGCGTTGAAATTTTTTTTGATTTTATAGCATAAATTATTGTTTTATTTTAAAAAAGAATTATTATATATTAAGAAAACAATTGTTTTATGTGTGTACATACTTTATGTTTGTTAAATATATATATATATATATATATATATATATATATTGTTAGGGATGAAGATGCACCTAAGCAAATAGTTGATACTAGTGCAACAAAACCATCTGGTTGGTTAGATGATGAGCCAGAACTCATTGCTGATCCTGCTGCTGTACGTCCAAGTGATTGGTATTTTTTAATTTTAAGTTTTTTGCCATAATTTTTTCATATCAGAGAGTATTATTAACGCAATTTAATGCGCTTGTTGATTATTTTTGATTGTTTGTTAAGGGATGATGTTGAAGATGGGGAATGGGAAGCACCACAGATTAGCAATCCTAAATGTAAAGAAGTAGGATGTGGAAAGTGGCAAGCTCCTCTCAAAAATAATCCTGATTACAAAGGCAAATGGACTGCTCCTCTGATTACAAATCCTAACTACAAGGTAAGAAAAATACAAATTAATTTTAAAGGCATTGATATTAATTATTTACTCATTAGCATGAAAATAAGATTTCAGTATTTTTCTTATTCATTTAAAATTAATTTTTCCAATATTTAAATTATCATCTAGTTCAAGTATTTGTAAATTTTATAGCAGATCATTTTTTTTATTCAAATTTTTATTACTTTTTAAATTTATTTGTCTTGATTCATTATTTGAAGTGAATTTTAATCTTGGTTGAATGCTTTTCATCATTATTGGTTTACACTCTTCTAAAAGTTTTTGTTTTTTACATTAACCATTTCTCGTGGGATTATTTTTTTATATTAAGCAATTCTCGAGGGATTATTATCAATAAAAAAGGTTTACATTAAGCAATTCTCGAGGGATTATTTTTTTACATTAAGACCTTCTTGATGGATCATTATCAGTAAAATAGGTCAAAATATATGCTAAACTGCCAACTTTTTTTACATAGCTTTTGTAGCAATAATAGCAAAAAAAGAAGAAAAAACAAAGATTAAAGAAAAAAAAAGTTGCTGTCCAAACCATTAATTGATATAGTGGTACTTTCTTCATGTTTTCCCTAGATCAGTCAATATATGTACTATGGCTTTCTTAATTAAAAAACATTTTTATGTTTTCATTTTCTCTGGTCCTTGTCACCAGTTTTGTAGTAAGTTGTTGGCAACCTTGAACAAGGAACAATTGGACAGCTCATAGTTTAGGGTTAGTACAAATTGAGCGTTACACAATCAAACAACATGTTATCATTATTAAACAATATTTTAAAAATAATAAAAATTTAGCAGCCATGGTTCAAAAATTTTCTAACAAATATGATCAGATTAGTGATTTAACTTCATCAACTGTGCAGAGTGTAATTGAAAAGTTGGATTTTTTTTTGAAGTCAGTGGTCTATGTCATCAAGCTCGCAACATCATACACGCAAAGTGTTTGCATGTTTGATGTTGCAAGATGGATTTAAATGAGAAAACTTAACACTGCATCAACAAAATTCAGCCACATTTATGCAAAAATGATTATGGAAAATTTTGACAAAAGTGTCTATGTGCCAGCAAAGCTGTGAGGGCCATAGCTGTGAGGGCCATTTGCCTGATGTGTTACTATTTGTACATTCTTAGACTTTTATAGTCTGCTTCTGCAAAGGAGTGTCCCTACATCAACTTTGGGTTTGAAATGATTCAGCAATTTTTTCTTCTAAAAAAGCCATATGCTATATATATATATATATATATATATATATATATATATATATATATATATATATATATATATATATATATATATATATAGACACACACACACACACACACACACACACACACACACACACACACACACACACACACACACACACACAGTATTTTATATTTTTATTATAATACACATTGTAAAGCATTTTTATTTTTAGGGTGTCTGGGCTGCAAAGAAAATACCTAATCCCAACTACTTTGAAGATTTAAATCCATTTGCAATGAAACCAATTGTAAATTAATTTGTTGTAATAATATTTATGTTATTAATATTTTTAATATATAAGTTTATTTTTTACATATTGAAGATTCTTATGATATTATATTTCTAAAAAAATTTCAGGTAGCAGTAGGATTTGAACTTTGGTCAATGCAATCTGATATTGCTTTTGATAATCTGATTGTTTCTGATGATGATTCAATTGTAAATCAATGGACTCTACAAACGTATTGTTTTTTATTTGTTTGTATATTTTTTTTTTTTTTGCTTTTTCCTACTGCAAAATGATTTTGTACTTTTTTATTTTCTTTTTTTTTTTTAGTTGGCAACTTAAATATGAAAAAGAAGTTGAAAATACACCAAATGCCATAGTATGTATTTATAAATATAAACCTAAATAGAGATTACTGTAACTTTGATAAAGTACTTGGAGTCCACTTGGAGCTTATCTGAATGTTTATTAAATATCTAAAAAAAATATTTTTTTTTAATTTAGGTTAGTTTGTGGAGTTCATGGATAGAAACAACAAATGAAAAACCATGGCTATGGGTTGTTGCTGCATTTGCCATTCTTTTACCAATTGTTCTTATTTATATTTTCTGTTTTCCCAGTAAAGTATGTGTTTACAGCATTAAATATACATTTTAGTACTTTGCATTTTAGCAGTCCTTTTTTTATATATGAAAATGAATGTTATTGTTAATGCTTAAATTTTAGATTAATTTAAAATGTTTTACTATAATCAATTCTTACTCTTTTCTCACAAAATTTAGTTTATGTTATAAAAACTGGTTTTCAAAATAAATTTTAAGCTTTGTATTTTTAAAAGCTTTTAAAAAGTTTTTTTTAAAAGTAACAAGACTTAAAACTTAAAAATTTAATTAAGAAAATTAAATTTAAAACCTTGAAAACATCTAAAAAAAGTTAATTTTGGCTTTTAAGGACTCTGTTGCTGAGCGAAAGAAGACAGATGCTGTTGTTCCAGATGAGGAACCCAATGACAGTAATGACTCCGCAGATGAAGTATGTTATGGTGTTCTTTTTTTATTATTTTATGTTTGTTTAGATTAATCTATATATTATACTTATGTAGCGGGTAAAACATTTTTTTTGTGCATTAACATTGTGCCGTTATTAAGTAGCAAATGTTATTTATTAAACTTATGATGTTATTTATTAAACTTATAGTCATTCGACATGGACACATTTTATAATGACATATGCTGTGTATTGTAAATATTGTTGCAACAAGAAACACTGCATATTCAAGTTTTTTTTTGTAGCAATTATTTTTTTTTAATGCCTTTTAACAAAATTTAATCAAGTTTTTATTTAATAAATTTTTTAACAGTATTTTGAATACCTCATTAGAAGAAATTAACAGTTTCAACTTGATATATGATAAGTGATAATTAATAGTTACTTTTTAGTCCCATGTACACAGTATTGTTTTATGCAGTTGAAAACATTGTATTAGTAAAATGTTATCTGTTTGTCCCTTATCAACAAGAAATAATGTCATCAAATAAAATCAGAGGCTTGATGCTTTTACGTTAGAAACGTTCAACACTCTTAAATCCACTATACAAAAAGCGTTATCTAACATAAAATTACAATTTTCCATTAAAATAAGTTTAGGGTTTATATTAAAACTATTTATGTGTTATGTCAGTTAAACAGATAAATTTAAATTAGGCAAGCCTGCAAAGTTTGAAAATGATAGGGCTAGGGGAAAGTATTTGAAAACTTATTATCTTTAAGGACCGTTTCTTCTACTTCTCTGGAATTTTTAAAATCATTTTTTAAAAATGGAAAATTGTACACCAGAATTAGATTGTGGCTAGTTAAATGTGCTAGATAATACTAGATAAAAATGTTTTACTATTAATGAAATGTCCTTATAAAAGCGTCTTGTATTAAAATCTGCACCTAATAAAAACATTAAAACAGGCCATAACATAAGCATTTTATTATTTTGTTGATTGATTTTTTTTTTCTTCTATTTTATTATATTGATGATATTTTTAAAGATTTAAGTTTGTTCTAAAAGAACAGTTATGAAATTCGAATATTAAAAGATCAAATGCTTAAAAAAAAATTTATAACCATTTAAATATGTTAAAATGCCTTTAATATTAAATACGTTTACATTTCTGCATATGTTGATATTAAATACATTTAATTAAATATGTTCACATATCTACTTTTTTTTTTTTAACTTTTTTAGATTTACTTACTAAATGTTCCCAAGAAAACTACTTACGAGTAAATAAAATAATCTAGAAATAAATGTTTAATATAACACTCAAAACTGTTCTCTATTATGATTGGGTTATAAAATTCGAACTTATTATTGAATAGGAATTTGTTGTTCCCATAATAGCTATTTTTTGCAATGCATTGTGGTAAATGTATGCCGCAACAAAACATTGATTGGATTTTATAGAAATTTTTAACTTGAGTAAAACTGATTTAAATGTAACATTAAAGAATGGAAATTGTAGTTGATTCAACAAAAATAATAAATATATGTTTTCATTTATTTTACTGGTCCAATTGTTTAGTAGTATTGAAAAAAAAGTAGCCGGGAAATTATTTATTGTGTGCCATAATTCTTCAAAACAAAAGCAACTTTCTTATTATGTTTATAAAAAGAAAGTTTTTTTCTTATTATGTTTATAATAGTAAAGTATATTCTTAGTATTTTCTAAGACAGAGTTATGGAAAAAATAGCTTCATCAAATTAGCAAGAAAGATTTTAAGCATACTGCTGCATAACTCTTTAAAATAGTGTTACTTCACATAACATACCCCCCTCCCAACACACACAGACATACACACCCTTATTGTTGATGATGACAAATAAGATAAAAAGTATTTGTAAGTAAAATAGTCAACTAGTTTTAAAGTTATTTTTAAAAATAATGGTTTCAAATATTTATTTAAGTTCTAATAATTCAATTAAGTTTAAAATATTTAGTTTTAAAAATTCCAGCAGACATACTTCATATTTCAAAATAAAATTTTGTAAGTTAAAGCAAAATAGAGTTGTCCCATCTGTCTTTATTGAACTCAATTTTCTCCACAAGCATGTCCTCCTGTGTCCAAACAATGAAATCAATAAAATCCACTTGTCTTATTGTCATAAGCTATTGACACTAGTAGTAATGTTGACTATTAATCTTCAACTTTAGATTTCCATCTACAATGTGCATATAAAACTGATTGTCAGTACAAACCAAAGAAATAGATGTATCCTTTTTACTAAAAGGACACTTAACCTCAACTACTTCGGAGACTCTATCATGAAAAACTAATTCATCAGGACTACAAGCAAGCCAAGACTATTTAGTATTAACAAATAAACCACATGGAGTAATTTGACACTGCAAGTGGTCTTCGTATGTTTTTATGGCCACAATTTCATTTTCAATTCCCCGTTTACATGCACCAGATTTCAAAAATATTACATTTAATTTTTTAATTAGTGATGTAGGGTAAAAAAAATTTTTCTTTTTATGACATTACCAAAGTTAGATGAAGTTAAACGTTTGCTTTATTTAATAAACCATATGCTGTTATTAGACTGACCCAAAGTTTCATTCTCTATAACATCTCTAACAGACAACAAAAGATGGTTAGTTACAAATAAATTATTGAATTAACGTCATTTACGTATGTGATATTGTTGTAATAGGTCTGTAGAAACCTTGTCATCTGAAACACTTTTTATATTCAGTTTCTTAAAATCCACAAGTTGATACAAGGTTGCTGCCACGTGCTTACAACATCTACCGCTTCAGCTCCAACCACTTAGCGTAAATTACTTTTCCAAAGTTTTTGCAGAAGTGTACATTTACATTGCATGTGTTTTTTTTATAGATGCTGACACAGAACACCTAACTAAATATAAAGATTAATTTCCAGCTTGAACATCAGGTTTAATACGAACCCTTTTGACATAAAACTCTTTTAAAGTTAAAATCCTTGAATTTTGTGTTAAACAGCTTCTGCATTATCTTTCGATATAGTTTCGGCCACCATATACTCGTGTAAGATTTCGTGTGATATTGGAGCTTAAGTCAAAATATTACTAGTCCATTCCTTTACTTTGAGAGCAATATTTTCTTCATCGATATTAAACTCTTCGTTAAACTCTTCTCGATACACTCTTTTTGGCAGTAAAGATATAGCAAACAACAACACTTGATAGACTAAACTTAAGCATCATTTTGTATATATTTACCACAATGCATTTCGAAAAATGTCTATAGTGGGAACAGCGAATTTATTAATAAAATTTTCTATTGTTAAAAAATATTTTTGAAAGTTTTTGTTGAAATTTAAACTTTGATTTAATATCTTTTTCACTAATCATATTTATTTTTAACATCTTTTTTATTACTATATATTTTTGTATTTAAATTTATTTTTAGAATACCAAACATTAAAAAAAGTTAAAAAAACTCATGATTACGTTTTGTGATCGAATAATTAAAAGAGTTTTAAATCTGTTATAAAAGACTTATTTAAAATACTTTTGATGTAAGTTGAGTAACTTCTATGTATATTGTATACTCTAAATTAGAGTAAGTGCTGCTGCTGAGTCTGGGAACAGAAATACCGGCATTATTAATTCAAATTTGTATAGGAAAAAATGTTTTAAGGAGAAAAAAAAAAAATTTAGTTTTAAGTAGGTATAGGTTTAGCAGATTTTGTCAACGAATGATAAAGGCTTGGCAAATTCGTCAGCGAATAATAACCATGTAATTTTAAATAACCATGTAAAAGTCTTCTTAAAATGGTGGGTGTTGTAAATTTTGTACGGAAATAACTTAAAAACAAAATGCTTAAAAACTTAAAATATAATTAATTCTTTTTTTTATTTAAAATCTTAAACCATCATTTAAAAATGTTCCTATTTTATTTAAATATGAGTATGCAGTTTTAAAATATTTGACCGTCAATAGAGCGCTCTGATTTATCTTTTAAAGATGAAACTTCAAATATAATCCTTTATTATAGGAAAAAGATGATTCCACAGCTGAAAACAAGAACTCCGATTCATCTCTTAAAGAAAAAACAAACGAAGATACAAAAAAACCCAATAAACTAGAGGAAAGCGAGGAGGTATAATTTTAAAATTTAAATTTATAGGTTCCAAATCAATGTGTTTTTAAATTTAATAATTTTTTTTTTAAGGAGGAAAAAGAAGTTGAAACAGTTGAAGACGAAATTCCAAGTCCATCTCCAAGGTTGTTTTTTTATAAAAAATAAAAAAAAGTAACCGTATATACCAACATCTAAATTAAAAATAACATATATACAAAAAAGAAAGAATGTGAACGCGTAAATCTTTAATTTAGTAAAAATCTGTTCTCCAGATACAAAGTTTTTTTATAAATTTTTTTATTTTATTAACAGGACTCGAGCTCGACGCAAGACGCGCAAAGAGTAGTGTAGCCCGTTAGTATGTTTTGATATTGAATGTTTTCTTCGATGCAACCTTGGTAAATTATTTAAATGGTTAGACTCTGTTGTAAGTCTTAGAATATCTTAGTTAGTTTATTGAAGTTTTGAAATGTTAAAGAAATAAACGTTTGTAGAATTTATGTTTAATATCTAACAAGTATAAAACAATTAGGCGCATTTTAAAATTTTATGTTAAGTACTAAGTTCGTTGTGCACTTTAATTCTCGGTATTTAGTTTTAGGGTTTACTAATGTGATATTTACTTGTATTTTAAACCTAATGTCTAACAGTCTTTCTAAACTTTTCAAGTTTTTTAATATTAAGGTAATATATTAAAATATAACAATTGTGACAAGTTGGTGCAGTTAGACCAAATTTCGGCAGAATCTCAACTCAATAAATGGAATGGCTTCGGTTGTTTGTTTTTTTTTTTTCTTGAAAGATTTTGTTCTTGCACTTTTAGACAACCAATTTATACTGTATTTAAATACATAAAATTTCTTAAATTAGCTAAAATTGCAAGGTTTGTAGGAGTTCATCTATCAGGAAGCATATCTCTATCCTGCTTTATTCCAGTAGAACCGGGAATAAAGAAATTGTAGACTTGAGTAAATTGTAGCCGAGTTACTTAAATAAGCATTTCGCCGGGAATGAAGTCGATGCGTCGTGACGTATCACGATTGCAAAATTTCGTAGTTATATTTTTTAATTATTTTGTTTTGTAAGATTTTATAGTTATATATATGTATATATTTTAAACATATTATAGTTATATATGTAAACATTTTACGCATATAACTATAATACGTTTATAAACAAAAATATATTAAAGCGCGTACATTTATAAATAATATAATTAGAATTTAAAATAATGCCAGGAGCGAGTAAAAGATTGCAGTTTTATTACACAAACAACAAGTTCAAAAATGTTGTTATGCTACAAAACGTCATGTTACATCACGTTACATACATATATTACCTAATGTTAGATGTTTTCTTATTTGAAATTTGTCGTCATCTCGTATCAAACACCAGATGTAGATTCCCATCTACCCTTGTATCTTTTCTCCATTGCATGAATATCCTGATAAAAATGTTCTCCATGCTCTTCATTCACATCATCCAAATTTGGTCTGAAAATTTTTTAGTGTGGATGCAGGTAATATTGACATTCTGCATTTCATATCTGCGTACCGTACAATTAAGTTATCCACTAGCTCTTTGTAGTTATCGCTCTTATTGTTGCGTAAAAAACTATAAACAACAAGTCTAAGCGCGATCCATGGTTCTTTTTTAACAGCAGAAATTTTGTTCTCCAGCTCCTTGCATGCCAACATAACTTAAATCTGCGGACCAACGAATACATATGCTGAAATTTTTGCATCTGACACCTTTGAAAACATCTGCCGAATATGATGGAAGGCTGCACTAGCTGGGTTAAATGCTTTGACATTATTTGACAAGACATTGTTTAATGTGAAGGAGTGGTAGTAAGATTTTCTCAACAGGTATCAGGGATTGATTAATAACATTGTGCGAACCAGACTGTAAATGTTCTCTCACTGTCCACTCACGTCTCGTGAAGTGCTGATGAAAAAACATGAGTGCTTTGTGTATCCTTTTGTCTCCACATACATCCCACTCGTACCTGTCGTAGTTGATTTTCTTAAGCAACAATTTCACGTTCTTGTAGTCTTTCTTAAGATAAACGGAGTGAGTTACTGGAATCAAAGAAAATCGCATTCCGTTATGGAGCAAAACTGCCTTAAGACTTCTTGTTGAACTATAAATGCATAACCTCCTCTCATCAGAATTGTGAACAATGCCAGTGTCATTGAAAAGACCACGAACGTCATGACAGTAGCACGGTGATTCTAATACTACATAGAAGAACGCAAATATTCTACGTCTTTTTCGTTATTTCGAGGTTCTGCAGCTTGGATTTAATAAATTCCATTCTTTCAAACGTGATGTCAGAAGTTCTGCATTTAATTTAGTGAGACCTAAATCTCGTACTAAGTCATCAAGTTCTCGTTGATTAGAAAATAAGGTGAATCATTCGGTTCCTTAAAATTACAGTCATCGCGGAGTTCATCCAGTGTGTCTACATCAGAATGATATGCAACTGCTCCTTCGGATTGAGGTGGGTTAGGAACAGGCAATTCATTACTGTGTTGAACTGGTCCAATAGAAGAGGATATACTTGGATAAACTAGAGTCAGCCTATCCTTCGGCATTTTATACTTTGAAATGTCAACCATGCAGAAATAAGTCATCATGATGGTTTGTCGGTTCTCTCCATATTCTCAGAATCGCAAAGGGCATTGACTTACGAATTCCACGCAGCCATTCTTTCAGAGTTAATCTACATCTACCACAACTGAAGTGTGGTGCCCACGATTTGTTCTGATCTCCCATAGCCATGCCGAAATAAGCATGATATGCAGTAAAAAATTTTGTACCAATGACAATCTTATGTTTAGTTTGTGTTGGACTAATATAGTAACCACAAACATAACAGAATGAGTCAGGACAAAGCTTGCAGGATCTACAAGACATATTCACCACTTCTTATAACAGTTGTAATTAATTAAACTGAAAATAAACAAAAGAATATTGTTAACTCATTCTCTCAGTAGCATTTGTTGAAAAAATTGTACCCAAAATGTGCTAATATTTATTTAAAAAATGCTTTAAATCAACATGAATGAAAATAAACAATATCAAAGGAAGTGACAATTGAATACCTAAAAAACTAGAATCAGGAAAAGTAATATTAAAAATGGGATTAAAGACACAAAATATACAAAGCCACTGTCAGTGCCTCGCCGGAGAGAAAAACAAATCCACCAACCACTGTCAGTGGCTCAGTGGAGAGAAAATCGTAAAACTACGATTAATACCTGCATTTAAATTGCGTCAAATGAAACAAAAGTAACAAAATAGCTATAAAATTTTGTAGTAATGCACATAAAATGAACAAAAAGCCAGCTCCTTTAATTTTAAAGTTGTCTAATTAAAATTTTTATCAGTGACTCAAGTCAACATAAAGATCTTTTAAAAAAAAATTTTTTTTTTTTTTTTTGCAGATGCAGACACCCTAAACATCCTCATACAAAAGGGTGTATAGATCGTTAGAGATTTTAGATATAACTTTTGATTGTTTTTAGAAACAGTTTTTCTCAGATTCGAAGCATTAATTAGTTAAAATATTTGTGACGTGTTAGACCCCCTTTAATAAACAATGAAATATTTAATAAATATTTTATCAGAGTAAAAATATTAAAAACTTTAAATTAAAAAAAAGTTACAACAAAAGTTTGATACAATCTTTGTTAGGTTCAAGTTCTTTAATACATCTCGAACTCTTTCTTAGAGAGCTAATAATTGGATCTAAACTGCACAAAAATCTTCCCATAACATTTCATTTGTGATTTTTCTTGAATATTTTCTCGTAAAGTGTTCTCTATAATTTTTGACGTCTTTATTTCGAAATTCCTGACCTTCCTCAGAAAGAAAACCTACTGGTATTGGTTTATCTTGAACAACTTAAGAACTATGAGTTAGAATTTTATGTAAAATTTGAGGCATTAGAAACCATGGGTGCAGAGAAACGTAAAGCTCTGCTGTTTCTTTGGTATATTTTTAAGTTCATCTGCGTTAATTTGATGTTTGCACGATAAAACACAAAGCTTTACGTAGAAACGTTTCCCGAGATTTTTATCTAAGCCAAGTATTTCAGCAGACAACTTATAGTTTCGGAATACTTTTCGTGCCGTGTTTCTATCATTTGTTGTACCTGAAACGCTGCTTTTTGGTACATCTACAATTAAACCTAAGTAATATTTTATCTTTTGTTAAACAATAATCTTTTTTTCTATAACAATGTCTTTATCATTCTCTCCACTAATTTGCCATTTTCCTAATTCAATTCTAAAACTTATATGAAGGCAGCATTCAAAGCACCTTTTCCATGCATGCAATGTGCTCAATCCAAGCTCAGTTGAAACTGTAATATAGATTTTTGAAAAAGCAACATTTAGATTGTTCATATTTGAAAGGGTCAGTCCAAAAATATTACATACTTGAAAGGAATTACTTAAAGGGAAAACTATAGTAGCCACTTTTCTATCAACCATTGTGCATTCTAACTTATGTTTGATAACAAAGGAATTAAAGATCGTTGGTTTCAAGTTACTGTTCTTAAAGGAAGTATATTCTTGTGTAATAACCTCAGAACTTTCTTTTACATATTGAAATCGTACTGGATGGCGGTAAAGATAGTTTTTCATTAGTCCATAGTGATTCGTCAGATTCTTCAATATAAAGTTTAATCGGAACGATGCAGGATAAAAATATAGGTTGTTCCTCGACATAACTGATACTTATGTCGTCTTCTGTACTTTATTTGTATAATAATTGGCCAGTTGAACCATCAAATCCTACTTTGTGTATAAAGACAAGAATGGATTTCTTATGAGTCTTTACAGATTCATTAAGTATTTTTAATAACCTGTATGTAGTATGGCAAATAAGACTTTGTAAATCAACTGAGGCTGAATAATTAGTAGTTTGTATTCCAAAACGAGGTATGCATAAATCTTTTTCTTCCCTTACTTCATTATAAGTTGGATACAATTTGTTTCTAAAAATGACTATAGTATTGAGGTTAAGTACCTTGGCATCGCTGAACCTTTTTTTCTCTTTTAGTTTCAAAATAAGTGAGTAAAATAATTCCTGTCTTTCGACAGCAATGTTTGTTTTTTCTGCTCTCCTCTTTTTTGTTTTTTCAGAAGCTTCGGTGAATTGTATGGAATTTGCACCGAGTGGTCTTCCGTAGACAACTAATTTATATCAAAATATCAGATGATTATATTTACTATTAGCATTTACTAAACACAGTTAAACAGTGAAAAACATCATGAGTCCATTGCTTTAATTTTTATAAAATATCATACCTAAATTGTGAGGAGAAGTAGGAAAAGCCAAGCCCGAGTTTTGGCCCTTGTCTAGTTTATCTGTTTCAAAGCATGCATAGCTAGTTTGTAGTTCTTTTTCTAACCGGATTTTGTAAGTTAAATCAATCTTATATATTGTGGCAATTACTGCAGCTTTTATTAAAAAATAGTAAGAAAC